TGAGAACCCCTCTGGATTAGCTGGACATTACCCAAACACACTAGGGGTGTAACGGTATACGTACCAAAATTATTCGGTATGGGCCCTTCGGTTCGGTACACATGTGTACCGAAGCGTTCCGAACGAATAGAACGCTAAACGTAACAAATTGAGAACGTGAACAACATTTTGGAAGTAATCTCAGGTCAGTGAAATTTTCTCATATTGGGTTCAACGCGTCATAGAGCGACCAAGTCATTTCATTGGACGAGAGGCATACTATGAGAGCTGGTCACAGGGATACGTTCAAATGTAGTCAGTAATTTGAGGAACTGTTTAAATGGCGAACGCAGATAAAGTTGAGCTTGAAAATCCTCCTGCAACATTGAAGTCTCCGGTTTGGGAACATTTTGGTTTCGCAGTTACGTACAAGGATGACGGACAAAGACAGGTGGACCGAACCAAAGCTGTTTGTCGGCATTGTTCAACTAAAATTGGTTACGCGGCTGGCAATACATCAAACTTACACACTCATTTGAAAAGGCATCACACGAACGTGAATATCCCCGGTACCAAAACAAAAAAGACTGAAGTGCAAACCCAACTCCCACTAGCATGTACGCCTCCACCACTCGTAAAAAATTCAGACCGAGCCAAAGCTATTACAAACGCCAAATATCCTTATGTTGCCATGTTAGCAAAGCGCTGGCTGTATCTGCTACCTCTGTCCCTAGCGACAGGGTGTTCTCCACAGCAGGAGACATTGTTAGTGCCAGCAGATCTGCCCTTTCGGCAAGCAATGTGGACAAGTTCATTTTTCTTAAAAAAAACATGAAAATACAATGACAAGCCTAATGTCAAGCTCGCTGCTTAGGTACTAGTACAGTACAGTACAGTTCAAATACAGATTATTTCAGTTCATCGAAATGCTGCACCTTAAATGTTTATTATTATTATATTTTGTATTTATTTGAGTGAATATTCACAGTTTAATAATAATTAAAACAAATATATATATATTTTAATATAATGTATTTATTTTGGCCCCGTTTAAAGAGGGATGTGTCTTGGCATATTAAACGAAAGGTAAACCAAATCGGGGTGAGAAATCCGCTCCACTGTGTCCCATCCCTGCGAGTGTACAGCCTTTTGAACGTTTAATCGTCTGGTCTTCAACCTTCCTAAATGTTCCCACACCACTCCGCTCCTCCGCTCACTTCACTGGCTTCCGGTAACTGCTAGAATCCACTTCAAGACACTGGTACTTGCATACCATGCTGTGAATGGATCTGGCCCTTCCTACATCCAGGACATGGTTAAACCGTACACCCCAGCGCGTGCATTACGCTCTGCATCAGCCAAACGACTCGCTGCACCCTCGCTGCGAGGGGGACCCAAGTTCCCATCAGCAAAAACACGTGGGTTTGCTATCCTGGCTCCAAAATGGTGGAATGAGCTCCCCATTGACATCAGGACAGCAGAAAGCCTGCACATCTTCCAGCGCAGACTGAAAACTCATTTCTTTCGACTCCACTTCGAGCGATATAATTACTAACAAAGAACTGCTAACAGAGCACTTATATACTAATAAAGGACTGGCTTATCTATAGCCAGTTGAGTAGCACTTGAAATGTTTGGCTCTATGAAACCTGATGTACTTATATGATTCTGTTTTCTTCAAGGTTGTGTCTTCCTGGTCGAATGTACTTATTGTAAGTCGCTTTGGATAAAAGCGTCAGCTAAATGCAATGTAATGTAATCGTTGAAGCCGTCACGCCATCGGAACCCCTTCGTATTTACATAGACCATGTAAACGAGGTCCGCCAAAGAGAAGTTGTCATTAGCCCAGGTAGGAAGGAAACATCGGTATGAACGAAAAACTGAGCAGCGCTCATTTAGTCCTGGAGGTCAGGTCCTGGTTTTGGTGCCAAGGGCTAGTTTGCCATTTCTGGAGAAACATTCCGGGACTTTCTATGTGCTGGGTCAAGGGACTGACCAAAATTGTCTCCTGTCCACACCGAAGCGTAGGAGAAGAGCTCCTAGTTCTTTTGGGTTTGCCTGATGGTACTATGCCATTTGCTCTGGTCTTCTAGATTAGTGCTGAACAATTAATCGATTTTAAATCGAAATTGCGATTTTAAATGATGCAATTATCAAATCGCAAAGCCTGCGATTTTTTTTATTTAAAAAAAAAAAAGTTGTTTTGTTTGTTCTTCTTGTGTGTCAGTCATCCACACCAATCAGAGGTGCTGTGCTCCACATGTACCAGTCATTGTTAACCAATCAGAAGTGGCCCATGATAGTAAGTGATAGACAGATTGATCCACTCACTTACCAAGTATTTTTGAAATACTTTTCCAAATGGCTTCCAATGGAGCTTTCCTAGATGGTTAGGTGAAACAAACCATCTCAGTCAGGTTAGTAATGCTCCGTCACATGTTTTACATCTATTACAGGTTGAATCTTAAACTGAAGCTTGACTTTAACCAGTTTAGCCCTGAGCCTGTTTTTCAGGTCTCAGGCTCGACAATATAATTCCCAGAACAAATGACCATATCTTCCCTTCTAAAAAGGGTTAAATTAATAATCTTTTTTCTCAAAGTAATGATAAACCTGTGAGTTGGATGTAGAAAAGTCAGAATCAATGTTTTTTATTTTAAAGAAAATTCAGACTGAACATAGTAAAAAACTGTAAATTATAGTGTCCGTCCAGCGTTTATTGTTTTATGCCAGTGTTTCTCAAACTTTTTCATACCAAGGACCACTTAACCAATAAAAAAGCACTCGCGGACCACCTAACTGCACAAATATCCAAAAACACATCGTTTTTTACAAATCGCCTGAAAATTGTACAAACAAGCGGCAACATGTGTGATGAAGGTGTTTATCTGGGTTATATCATGCAATCGAAAGTGAAACTTAAGCTCGCTCCATTGCGGAGATATTCCCGCGAGAGTGCGGAAAACTTAAATTAATTAATTAAAAATGTGAAATTGTACCAATATACTCACGGACCACTAGGGGGCGCTCACGGACCACCAGTGGTCCGCGGACCACACTTTGAGAAGCACTGTTTTATGCCATTAAAGACCACTTTTGACCAGACTACAACACAGGTGAGCCATGTTAGCGTTTTTAGCTACCTAGCGCCATATGTTTTGATGTCTGTTCTTGTTATTATCTCAGAGAGTTCGTATAATTGAGTGATAATGAAGGGTACCCCTCGATTCTGTGTCACCTCACGATGTGAAACGATGGGTTGGATGTGCAGCAAAGATAAATAATAAGGTTTTGTGAGTGAATTTCGGTGCAGTCATCTGTTAACATGTTTTGCTCGTTGCTAATTCAGAGGCTCAGCGTTAGCATTGTGGGGGTTTTTTTGAAAAAAAAAAAGAAAGTTAGATGAGTTTCTTCCCGTTACATGATATAAAACATTCATAGTTTATTAAATGAACATGATCTCAGACACTGTTTCCTGCAAGATGTTGCAGGAGGGCCCTGGTACCGGGGTCTCTCGGGCTTAACAGGTTAAAGCAACCCAACGGAAGTTTCATGTAAGTTTAGTTCTTTATTCGTAGCTCGGGCTGCAGGGGTGCTAGAGACGAGAGCACATTGATACGACCTTCCTAGCCGGAGATATGGCCGCATTTTACAATAAACTTCCATCGGGTCGCATAAAAACAAATATCGCAAATCGAAATCGCAATATCTGTCAGAAAGATCGCAATTAGATTACCCCAAATCGTGCAGCCCTATTCTAGATCTACTCTGTCCCTCTTAAATTGCTTCTTCAGGCGCTGGAATTGCTGAGTGGGCAGGGAGAGGTTTGTTGGCTGGTTTGAGAAGGAGTATAGACATCAGTGTGGAGTTTTTGAAGGCTATTGTAGCTGTATTGTTTTGGTGTGGAGAGGGCCGGTTAGGTAGTTAACGGTGTTCTTAATTGAACCCCTTTCTTTATGGGGGGGGGGGGGGGGGTGACGACCCGGCGTTTACCTGATGAGCTGCACCTGGGTTGAAAAGGCCTACAAGAAGAGAGCCCAGCCGGATACGTCTCTCTCTCACGGCCCCTACACACGGCGGCGTGCGTTGTCGCTTGCTATAGGGGGGGGCTGAAACTCGACCAACAACCAATCACATGAATCTCCCGCCCCAGACACACAAGCACGCGGTTTGATTGGCTAGAGCATGTACTGGCATATGATTCGATTGGCTGACGCCTCCATCGAGGCGTCAAAAGTAGAACATTGCTCTACTTTTGCAGCGAGCACCGCGAGAGAAGCTACGCTTTGCTCCCACAATGCAGTTTGGCGAATCGTGACGTCACCCCATTCAAAGTGAATGGGCAGAAGCGTTGAAGCGGCAACGCACGCCGCCGTGTGTAGGGGCCGTCACTCCTCTGGGCACTCTCTCCGTGCCAGCCTCGGGACCTGTTGCTGGTTCCATTGACTTATTTGTTTATTATAAATAAACGATTGTTATATTCTTACCATACGTCTCGCCTCCCTGCTTTTTGTTGCAGCCCAGGAGCCGGATTGTAACATTTCCTGGACGGGCTACTTTGTACAGACAAAGTTAATAATAATTGTAATATTCCAGTTATAAACGACATGAATCAAAGATGTGTTAATGTATTTTAGTGGTAAAAAAATTAATTCATCTTCATAATTATTCTATATACAGTTGAGGCCTAAATTATTAGCCCCTCAGGTGTTATGGAATATTTTCCTAAAATTCTTCTCAATGTTTCCAGCATTGATAAAAACTTGATATAATCAAACATTCACCAGTGCTATTTAGTAGCTTTTGGTACATTTTGGAAAATAAAATAAGTTTTTAGGCTATCAAATATAGTGAAAAATGGGTTGGTCAAAAATATTAGCCCCCATGTGAATTTTTGCTTTCAAAATACACCTAATCAATCGATCAGCTTTCAAACCACACCTAATCAACCAATCAGCTTTCAAGCCACACTTGAGCATCAATCAGCATAAAAGGACTCCAAGAAACAGGCACTTGAATACCTTATTGAGAGGGATTATAGTCAGGGGTGCACATAACTTTTTTGCCCTGGTTCTCTTGTCCCCTAATGTGTTTGAAGTTGTACGAAGTTCGGTCCCAGCCTCTCGTGTCCCACCACATACTTCCTGTAAATAAGTGAAAGATAGGCACGACTTTAAAACATTGACTAATTTCCATTCATCTATCAATGTGACACAAATCTGAACATTAACATGACTTTATTCAATTCATTAGCCAGCAATAAAAATAAAAATACATTATTAGCCCCTAAATAACATATTAGGGCCTAAAAGCAACTCATCACAGAGCAATAATTGATAAAAAAATCTACTATCACATTGACTCTTAGCATGCCATGTGTGCAGCAGCCATCAGCATATCTCATCCAAGGAAGAAAGCTGATGAGCATAGTAGGACTGTAATGTTAACCATATTACCAGTTGGCATCCTCATTTTGTTTCATGAATGCCATGGTAACGCTGCTCCTCTGTTCTAAAAACGACTACTACTAACTCTTATTCTGAGCATTTATCATGTCATGGTGCAGTAAATAACAGTCTACAAACTATGGCTTAAATAATATAGAGACACATAATATGTTTCAGTTTCTGGAATTTGACTAATCTTTCACAGCATTAAGAAAAGTACAATACTGTCACAGCCCCAGTGTACATGTATTGTTTCCCTCTACAGCCCAACACAGAAAGTGATTGTGATATGAAATACAACTTACCATTTTGGTTCGTGGGAAGAACGGAGGATCTCTCTCGGGCTCAGGGTTAGAAGCTTCTTTACAGGGAGCCTGAAATTGTAGCACAAAAAAAAGACACTGTTGTCACCTTGGTAGTGTTTGATCTGACTTATGTGCTGCAACAGTTATGGAGGTGTGTACATGCTGGATGAAGGCAATGATCTAATGTCTAGTCATGTCAACAGGTTGTAAAATCATCTGTCCTTACAAGGACTGCTGTCCCTACAAGACACCCTTTGACCAGACGGCCTTTATCTTTCTGTGTAGTATAACATTTAACCCGTTTCAATTTGACCCAAAGTATGGGGAAACGGAGCCCCTTACCAAGACGATAGTCCTGGTAAAACAGCTTCAATCTATACCAGTCAGCGACACGCAACAATGAGTGGAAAAACAATACATTGAAACGCACCATCTTGTCCCCTGATGTGTTTGGAGTTGTACTAAGTTCGGTCCCAGCCTCTCGTGTCCCACCACATACTTCCTGTAAATAAGTGAAAGATCGGCACGACTTAAAAACATTATTGACTCATTTCGTATTAATCAGGTGAAATTCAGAAAATAATGTTAACACAGCATCATTTTTTTGCAAATAAATCAAATCTGCTTAACTGAGCCGAGTGGTACCATGAAGAGCAATGGAGCAATGCAACACTTTTTCCCTGTCAGTTATGCAATGTCCTAAAGAGAACATAACCTCACTATTGAGCGACAGGGCTAAGCAGAATCCCCATAGTTGTATGTTATCTCCTCGTCTGGGAATAATTCCATTACAGCAAATAGGTACAAGTGAGGCATTTATTTTAATTGTGTAGCAGTCAGTTTATATTTTTGGCAGCACTGTTGAGCATTTTGAAAATGTATTGTCATGCCTCTGTGCAAGGCTTAGTCTTTCTATCTTTATAGCCAGAGGTGTAAAGTAACTAAGTTCATAAACTCAAGTGCTTGGGTAAAATGTTGAGTTACTTGTACTTTACTTAATTATTTCAATGTTTTGCTACTTCTACTCCTCTACAATTCAGAGGTAGATGGTGTACTTTTACTCCACTACATGTATGTAATACCTTTAGTTACTTTACAGATGTGGATGAATGATGTGAAATATAATCAAGTGTTAAATCAGACTTTAGTTCCACCTGGAGTAAATCCACCAGCTACCCTGCAGTATACAAAGTCATTCAAACTAGCTGCACCTTCACCAGCTTTGAGAACACTTTCATGATCAATCATTATAAAAACATATCATATAGATTATTCTGAAATGGACCAATCTGCACAATGACTACTTTTACTGTCGCTACTTTCACTATATTTTGATGAGAACACTTTTTTACTTTCACTTGAGGAACATTTTGAATGCAGGACTTTTACTGTAACAAAGTATTCCTACACTCTGGTACTTGTGCCTTAATTATTGTATTGGTGCATACATGAGGATATGGTAAACGTTCTTCAGCAAAGCTAAGACATCTGTTGGAGCGGCCACTTTAGTACAGTCAGCGACGTGCAGTCAGGGGAGGCAGGGGAGGCAGAGCCTCACCTGTCATACTCCAATGTAACAGAAAAACAACTAAAGAAAAACTAAATAGTAATAATAATAACATGTCTCCACTGATCTGTGTTGTAAGTGTGATTTATGTATGATTCCAATCGCTTTTTATAGTCAAAATCAGCATATTGGCCGAGCTCCGCTACAACTACATGGGAGCGATGAGGAGTGAGGCAGGGACGAGCTCTGCCTCACGTAAGCCCACAGTAACTGGCTGGAGCGCGGGCACTAATGTAGCGCGGGCACTTATTTTGTGAGCGCGCTCAAGCCAGTTACTGTGTGGTGAGGTGAGGCACAGATGAGCTCTGCCTCACCTCAGAATGCGTCACCCCACAGAAACTGTCTGGAAAGCGGGCCCTAAGCGCATGCCTGCACCATCTCACTGTATGTCACCAATGTAATGTTTGTAGATCCCTTTATTACATTTATCCTCGCCATCCATAGTCTCTAAATAACTTATTTCACGTATATATGATATTTAGGCCCGCTGGTCTCATCGTACAACGGCAATGAAAAAAGCACCAGGGGAGGCAGCCATAACCTCTGCCGCACTGAAGGGGGCGCACGTGAGCCCACAGGTTCTTGTTGCTACTGTTATTCTACGCAGAGACGGAACGCAAACAACAAACTAGACTTTTGAAACTAGAGGAAGATAAGGAGGACTTTTACAAAAATGTAATGGAGATTGTTGTCCAGAAGGATAGCATGGACTTCATCTTCAAGTCAAGGTAAGACCACAATTGTAATGAACATAGGATTAATTAATTACACAAAAATTAACGCGTTAAAAAAATTAACGCATTTTAATCGCACTTATTTTTGCACCGCGGAACGTTTCTCACTGGATGAGTTTCAGGCGTACCGATTATACTGGAGCACCAACTAACGTTCATGACTTCAGACAACAACAAACCACGGTGAACAACAGTGGGAAATGTTGTTTTAAAAAACGGCCGGATGGAAGCGTTGATAAGAGCACGGTTGTGTGCAAATTATGCAAAAAGGAATTCGCATATCACCGCAGCACATCAAGCCTCAAGTATCACCTCAATGCAAAACATATAGCAGCTAGCGTGGAAGCTAGCGTGGACGTTAGCCTCTTTTATCGCGTTCACACCAAAAAGAGCCGGTACTAAAATTAGTTCATGAGAACCTTTTTACCCCCACGAAAGTCCCTGCTAGAGAGCAGAGAGCTGCTAGAGAGCAGGGACTTTCGTACGGCTCTCTTGTGAGAAAAGAGCTATATTTCTGATTGGCTGGGCGGATTGCAAACCACGCCCCGTAAAACTCCCAAAAAGTTTTGTGAAGCCGCCATTTTATTATCCTCGCATTAGCATTATTACCATTAGCCCAGCGCAGAAACGCAGAGAGACTAACTTATGGCAACACAAAATAAAACATGGGAGCGGTGGAGATGAGGAGGTGTCGGCGTTCTGGCGATTTACTCGGAAGGCTGCTGGGACTCCCAGCAGCTTCTACTGAAGCCAGTCCCCAACTCCGGGGACTTCCGGCCGGGGACTTTGGGCGGCAGTATACGCCGTGAAGTGGTTTGCGGCCTGCCAGTAAACCCAAAGCAGAAGAAGAAGAAGAAGTGACGTCAGCGGCTTAATTTGTTCTCATGAACTAAGTTCTCATGAACCTTTGTGGGAAAAGTACTGCGGTGTGAATGCGCCTAATGGTATACTAAAATCCATGTGAAAAAAATTGCTTCTCACTGTTCTTAGGTCAAATATTTATATGCGATTAAAAATCACACACACACACACACACACACACACACACACACACACACACACACACACACACACACACACACACACACACACACACACACACACACACACACACACACACACACACACACACACACACACACACACACACACACACACACACACACACACAGCACACACACACACACACACACACACACACACACACACACACACACACACACACACACACACACACACACACACACACACACACACACACACACACACACACACACACACACACACACACACACACACACACACACACACACACACACACACACACACACACACCACACACACACACACACACACACACACACACACACACACACACAATTATTGTATGAGAGGTTCCAGGTTGAATTGAGGAAAATATTTGTAATGTTCAGAGGTTGTTGCGTTTAATATTCATGAGAATATTTGTCATTGTTCAAATGATAAACATTTGCATAAAGCATATTTGTCCACTCATGTTGATAAGAGTATTAAAAACTTGAAAAATATTCCTCTAAGGTACATTTAGAACAGATAAAAAATGTGCGATTAATTTGCGATTAACTATGGACAATCATGCGATTAATCGCGATTAAATATTTTAATCGACTGACAGCCCTAATATATATAAAGTTTGATCAGCACAAGGCGTTGGTTAACAGTACTTTGAAACGCTTAACATAGTGATGCCAACACTGCTAGGGTTGCTGTGATTTGACTATATCCAGGGGTGAGTTCACGATGAGATCACAATTATTTACTGGTATGAAGTGACACATTATTTTATATTGCCTTTCATTTAAATGTAAATAAACAGAGCACTGCTTTAATCAGCATGTTTGTCTAATGTTCAGATTAGATATTAGAAAAATAATTTTAAAGCAATAGTACTTTGTTGCCATACAGGTATGTATAAACATATAAAAAATAAAACATAAAATGAAAACACAAATGTTATATTTTAAAGTTAAATGTACCATTATTGTGCACTTCAAGATCAAAATTAAGAGGCTAAATTGAGAGGATAGACAATGTTGTGCTATTATAAGTTATGTTGTACACATTTGATTTCAATAAATGATCATATGCATGGTTAAAAAGGCTTCATTATATAATAATAAGGGCCAGGTAGTTTGCTAACCCTGCCAAAAAACCCTCGCACTGAGGAGAGGCTCAGTGAAGCAGACAGGTCTGACCTGGGGTGCATGGAGCAGACAGAGACACCTTCACCATGGCTCTCCAAAAGTGTAGTCAAAGACCCCGGCCACACGAGGACGAAAACGGCTAAACGCATAGGATTAACGCAAACGCAAACAAGCTTCCGTCCACACGCAATAGTTATCCGGATAGTGTCTGTCCACACGAGACCGCTCCGTTTAGCTCCAACCGCTGGAGAAGCTGCAGTACATATGCAGGAGCCTGTACGTGGCGCTGTAACTTCCTCCACAAAAGCAGCGAAGAAGCATGGTTGTCATGGTTGCCCTTCTGTTTATTCTCCGCGGTGGGGGCCGAGGGAACCGGGCAGAGTTTTTCGCCAGTCAACGTGTATTAAAGTTTAAACCTTCCGACAAAATTATAAAAGTGCCGGTCAAAGGTCTTCTTTGTTATTTATTGAGCTTTAAAACAAATGAATAACGACTCTATATAATATAATAATAAAAATACACGGAGCCTCTCTTTTTCCTCCCTCTCTTCGGACAGCGTCAGTGTCTGTCTCATGCAGCAGCTGATCCAGTAATGAGTGACCCGGCCGACAGTAAAAATAAACATATTTATAACTAGTTTAGGTAGTTTGAGAGGTGTCTCCGTCCTGTCAGATTAGACTTCTCTCGCGTTTATGTCCATATCGAGAGAAAGATAAATAATCTGAATTCAGTGTGCAGTTTACTTTAACGCGGGGGTGAGCAGCAGAGGTGGGAAGAGGCAGGGCTATTGTGCAATCATTATCATAAAATGATCGCTGAAGCACATATCCACAAAAGCAGCGAGTAAGATCCCCCCCGGATGTGTAAGTCTGCTGTAGATGTTGCACAAAGAACTGTAGCATGGTCAGTAGCGTCCGGAGCACGATAGCAACTCTGCGATCCGCCATTGTTGTTGTTGTTGTTGGTGGCGAAACACATCAGCAATGGCGCGGGGTAAGCGGAGGTGAGCAGAAGAGGT